TTATTAATCATATGAACATGCAAAGTAATTAGTAACTTAATATGTCAGATAAATGTAGTGGAGTAGAAGTATAGAATACAATAGTAAAGTACAGGTACCTCAAAGTTGTACGTACAGTACTTGAGTAAATATACTTAGTTACTTTCCACCACTGGGTATACTTTAACTAATTGTAAATAGCTTAAAACATTTCTGCATAGTCAGTCAAAACTATGCAAATAAGGAATGGGTTACATTTGCTGACCTGTATTTTCCTCATGTCCAGTTTCTGTAGATGCTAATTAAATAGCTGCTTACAGTTTAACAATCCTAAAGTTAGAAAAGCAAAAGAACACGTTTGACATTATGGTTGGCATTGCTCTTCTCATCCCATTCATTAAGTAATCATGTGACATGATTAACACACTCATATGGGTTCAAAACAACGAAGAATAACCTGAATTAGCATAACAAAAATGCTAACAGCTCATTAGCATTTAATCATGTTAACCGAGCTATGGCTAATGGGAACTAAAGTTGGCTGCGTGGAACTAACATCACCAAATAACCACTAATGTGTTGTTATCGGTATATTATGTATGGGCTAAATTGTAGGCCGGTAACGTCAGCTAAAGACACAGACAAGGTTAATTATTAAATTGTAAAATAAAAACAGTTGAGAAATAGCATTATGCCAGACAGGTGATAATCTTCGCTAGCATCATCGGCTAGCAAACTTGTTTTACTCGCGGTCTTAACACCGCCGAGGCGAGGAGGACTGTGCTCCATCGAAACTAGCCAGAATTCTGTTGTCATTTGAAACGTTTCTTACCTTTAACATGTAGCCGTTGGAATAAATCAACCAAATCAGATAGCTGTGTTAATAAATAATAGTCATTCAAAAGAGTATGGCTAACAAGTGATCCACAACAGCCCCCATTGTAACAAGGGCACCGCCATTATGGAGTACGTCAGAGATACAATTCTGAATGACGTCATGACGCAGGATATCTGACACACGTGTGCTGTGGCTGTATTTTGGATTAGACTTTTATTTCCTGAATCTTATGTTCAACGCTCTGTAAACTACTTTTTTCTGTTAGAAAAAAAATAATACAACAATACATAGGCTACTTGGAAGTATACAAGTGTTCTTGTTAACATGATGAAAATATGTTATCCCCAAACTATCCACTAGAGGGAGACAATTTATCACCTTTGGACTTTGGCAGCCAGGACTGTAAGTTTTTCACATGCAAATAATGATTTGAAAAGCTGACTTAATTGAACAAGTATTACAATGTCTTAAAATGCCTGACAAGTATTCAAATCACAAACTCAAACAACATGGATTCAATATGTTTGAAAAGTTAAAGGTAATATATTGGATGTGCAATAAATTGGGTATAAATTCATAAATGTGCCACTAAATATTGTTTTAAATATTGAAAATGCTATAATAATTGTTATAACACCCATATGTAGTACTGACAAACGGATGGTAAAAGGATGGTCAAATAAGTAACAGGTAGTAGGATTAAAGAAGAATATTTTACAAAAGGAGCAGCACTAAAAATATATCAACATCAAACATAAAATGCCTATTTGTTTTATATAAGGAAAGTATATTACTGCACTATAATTATTTATTTCATTATGTACTATGCCTTTCAATCTTATGTTATGTTATTATGTTAGGCTTTGTAAGGTAGGCTATCTGTTAAAAGTTTTCGGGATCAGCAGTTTGCTATGCTCTTTAAATACATAATTAGTAGCCCCCTTTTTTACAACTTTTTAAAAAATCTTCATGAATTAAATAAATCTGACTTTTTAATCATTTCCGAAGTCCATGGTGCCATGTGCTGGAGTAAATGAGACTCAAGACATACCATACATATTTTTTGTATAATATCTTAAAAACACATTTTCTTTTTTTTTTGTCATTCTAGAAATCTAGAGCTTGACTGAGAGTTTAGAGAAACACAAGAAAATATTCCTTAATTACATATGATATGTTACAGCTAATTGTGACGATGAATTAAACTCTTTGTTGAATAAAAGAGCAATAATTACACCCCTTTATCAATATGTCAAGCTAAAACTATTGTAATCCTTTAAATGCATATGGGATATGGCTATAAAATGCATACAACCAATGGTGAGTCTACAGAGAAACTAGCAGTGCAGTGCAATGATTTTGTAAAAAAAAATGATTTAATGATTGCAATGAAATATGTTTTTCACACACTTCACTCTTTTAGACCTGGTACAAGATCTCATGTAACCATCACGGCCTTTGTTTTTTTTCAAATGTTCCAGCGAAAGAGTGCAAGTAACATCTTGTGCCCTCTCCATTCCCCTCCCAGCCTCTCTTCTGAGGACAGCCAGCATTGAATCATTTACTCGGTCCAAATTAAAATTGGGAATCTACATGCATTATATATTCAACCGTGCTCGGACAAATCCTCTTAACTGTGGGAGAAATTGTCAGGATGTGTCCTGTAGAAAAGTAAGAGCCTTGTCTGGTTGTATTGCCCGTAGCAAGGGAGCATCTCAATCTGTCACTCAAGGTCCACACACATGCACACCAACCACAGTAAATCAGCCTATGAATAATATATAATTGTACTTTCTTTATTAATATTAAACATTGCATAATGAAGCACCGACTATAAGTAAATCCCAGAGCAATATTCATATTACCATGAGCTGTCCTGGAGTGGACCTTTCATTGTTTATGTAGTGAAACACATCAAAAAGGGCTGCCACTTAACCTCAACATTTAATCCTCTCTTTGTTCTTAAAACTGCATTATGCTGAGCGTAGTTCTTTCCCCTTTCACATATGTTGTCCTATTTTAAGACATTAATGCAATTTAAGTATTCTTTAGAGAGTAAACAGATGGGAGAGGCATGAAAAATGGAAGATAAAAGGATGTGACGAAGGTTGTGACCCAGAAGTTGCATTCACTGTCCACTGATGTGCAAGAGCTCCCCGTCAACTTTGTCCCTGGGCGCATTTTTAACATAAATTATAAGTGGAATCTTAAAACCCGGGTCATTTTGGGGAAAAATACCTAAAACGCTGACACAATGTCCCTTGTTCCTTTGGACAAAACTTCCATCTCAGCCTGGTCTCTCGTGTATGTATTGCCCTGAGGTGTGTTCAGGTATCTCCCAGCTCTGGCACTTTACCACACACGAGATGCATGTCTCCTTAGAGGCAACACTTTGGACTTAAAACCTTTCCTGTGTCCACAAGTTGGTGTATTTGTGGTTTACTGGTCATGTGCAACCCAGTTGAAACTGCCTTTGCCCGCAGCCGGCAGATACAAGCTATAATGGATACATTGATGTATTATTGAGAAACCCATGGGGTGAGGATCAAGGGGCTGCTTGAAGCGAGTAGGGATAGCAAAGAGAGTGCGTGAACTCGCGGGAAATGTTTTCCTTCAGCATCCCGATGTGTCCACGGCTCGCTCTTGCTCTCTTGGCCCTCAATGCCAAAAACTGAGACATTTCATGTAACATCACATGCGGAATTTATGGGCTCCATTCAAAGCAATATGCTCGACAACATGCTCGGGCCTCTCTGTGAAAGATAGCTGTTTGTGCAGTAGTGTTTCCATGTGGAGTCTGCTGAGGTTATGTCGACTTGAGCCAGAGCTGAGATGACATTTCATTTATATAAATAATTACTGTCCTGAAAGTCCCCTAGGCCTGCCCTGAAGCAATCAAACTTCTAATGCTCTTAAAATTGCCCACCATGTTTTATTAATGGCCGACTATAAAATGCATCGCTATAGCAGCACAATTTCCCCGGCTGATCCACGAGGAAAGAGTGTCAACTTTAAATGGCCGTATTAGGCTTCCATATTTTTATTCAACAATGTATTTCAAGTAAATTATACCACGGAGAAGGTTTGAATTATACGGTAAGGTGGGGAGAAAAAAAGAAACTTGAGTGTGTTCTTATAGTCTGTACAAAGCACTTATCTGTGCATACACTGATCTAAATGAATACAGTGAATTATGTGCAGGATGATTGCCCATTAGTGCCATTAATTGCCTCCGAGTGAACCTGATCTGCTCTTCAAGGACTCTCTTATTCTGAATTGTATAAATGGCGAATTAAGGGGGGCTCCATTCTAAAAATAAGAATAAAGTAGAGTAAGGCAGTGTTAAGGTTTCACCCCCACCCCCACCCCAACCCCTCCTACATAGGTTGAAATGAGTCCTGACTGTGCCAACAGAGGGTACTGTTGCCTCACAACATGTTTAAATTATCTTCACAACAAAATATGCATTCCTTCTCTGATTCAATGTGAGACAATCAGTGTTTTATATTATATTCATCATCATTTAGAAGCGTATTAGATATAGTAGAATACTACAATAAGATACATTTTTGTAATATCTCAATTAAAGGTGACCTTTAACCCAATATCTTTTAATCTGATAGGTGTGGGTGAACTTGATATTCCAGCAATTTAAAAACAGTTTGCTTCTGGTATGCATGATATGAATGGATCATTTGTTCAAACAAGTATACGGTTTCTGATTAAAAAACACAAGAAAGAAAATTGAAACATGAAAGGATTTGATGCTCTTTTGGGGGTAATGTATATTAAAGGTCATAAAGAGAAGGTAATATAAGTGATTTGGTGGTCACTTCATTGATTCTAAAGGCAGACATTGTGACACTGCCTTTGAAAGAAGTAATAATGACTTTGTTTGGAGCTCATCAGCTCGAAGGAGCCACGTCTAGCTGCCCCAACCAGACTGTGTCCGCGCGTTTTGCTCTCCACTGTTTATGCAAACGTCACGGACGCACTTGGACTTGTATCCCATCCCACCCCAGTGGAGGCAACCTCAGCCACACACACACACACACACACACACACACACACACACACACACACACACACACACACACACACACACACACACACACACACACACACAAACAAAAGCACAGGGCTTGCATACAGTCTGCACACACACGGATCCTCCCAAACAGAGCCGCCGCTTTCATCGTGTGAGTCAACGCGAAGTAGCCTCACACTGTAAGGAAACTGGGAAACATTGGACCTCTCGCTTGTTGGACGACGACGAGGAGGAGGAGGAGGTGTCTTGTCTGCCCGCGTGCACTCTCTCTCCCCCCTCTCTCTGCTTCACACTCCCTCTCTCAATCAACTAGGCTCCTGCCAGCAGAGCCAAGAGTTGCCGTTCCGCGCGCCGATGCCAAAACGCACAGGAGGAGTCAGTGCCAAAGGGTCATTTTAGCGCACCACTGCTGAAATGGAAGGACTGTAGGGAATCCTAGAATAAACAGCAGCCATTTGACCCCAGATGATATAATCATATCATTAAAAACTCGAGAAAAAAGGGAAGAAGGGGGAAAGGAGCCAAATAAGAACCCATCACCCAGTGGAGTGCTCCGTACTTCATCTGTCACCACGCTCGCTGCAGAAGTGTCCAGGATTTGTATCTGCAAAAGGTCATTGCAAAAACATACCTGAAACACATTGGCCGCTATAGTAGCCAACTGCTTCCATTACAAACTTCTACTTCTTTGGCTTCCTTAAATCCAGGTGTTGCTTCCTCCCGAAGACGCTGCAGGACATTTTTTTCTTTTTGGACAAACTCGTCTTCCATCCTTATTGCGCTCCTCCACGTTAAAGTTGCAGCAGAAGAAGAAGAAGAAGAAGAAGAAGAAGAAGAAGAAGAAGAAGAAGAAGAAGAAGAAGAAGAGTGGAGGGATTAGGAGAGGGGGAAAGTTGTTCACCTGCAAGCCAGAGGGAACCGACACCACGGTCCAAGCCGAATCCAAGTGCCGTTCACCGGGCGATGCCAGAGTAAATGCCGGGGCAATGTCCCGCCGCAAGCAGGTGAACCCGCAGCACTTATCGTTGACGCACAGGGAGACAGTACGAGGTGAGTTCAATTCCTGCAAGACATCTCACTTCATACATGATTAAGTGTACAATGTACGGTTTATTACTAGTATTCATTCAGATTTTGAGGTCTAAATTCAAGTTTTTATTTTGCTATTGATACAAGAGTTGTTTTAATCTTTGAAAATGCGCCGAAGAAGAGAGAAGATTGCCGATAATAACTTAAATTAGTCAAAAATACATTCACTAAGTTAAAACACGTGTACACACATGAATAACACTGTTGTTTTATTTACTTATTAGATAGAAATAAAGTCATTTTATATCTTGATAATAATGGTTTTACAACTTTAAAATGTATTAGGATAATTCTGGTGTATTTCATATACCGTTTGCAGCTTTATACGATTTTACTACGAGAGATGATCTCATGACATCTACATTGGGACTGTCTGGCTAAGTGTGTGTGAGTGTGTATGTTTGTTTGTTCAAGCACGTGTGACCGTGTAATGCATTTCATCACAAAACAATTTTGATTATGTTTTTCCAAGATGTGGCTGAATGTTTATTCCTACTTTCTCTAAATATTCACTCATTTTCAAACAGTTATTTTATCACGTTTCACATTTGTTTTGTGATCCTGCACCACGTTACTGCTTAATTTCTTTAAATTCGACTTGAAATGCGTTTCATTTGAAATTAAATCTCCTCTTTTCGACATGTTATCAGTTTTGAATATGTTTGGCTTGACACAAAGGCCTTTCTGCACTTTAAAGTAACCTTCGAGGAGCATTACAGAACTCAAATCGAGCACGGAAATCAATTAATTTAGCTCTCACATCAGAAAACTAAAATCAACACGCCATAAACGGACAATCTAAACTTGTATAATTACGATATTTCAAAAACAAAGGGGTCATTTAACTTAGTTTGAAGCTTTCCAAAGCTGCGACCAAAAAAAGGAACAGTGATTTAATTGCGCAGATTTAATCTGAAGAAGGTTTTTTTAATGTCTTTGTGGAGCATATGATAAAAAAGTCCTATAATCCAATTTCAAATCAATTATATCAATCTAACCTTCATCTCCCAGCGCTGTGCTTTTCCTAAATCCAATTTCATAGAGGCCTAATCTGGGTAATTCATTGCAGAAATTCATGATGTAATCTCTGGCCAATCTGTTTTGTGTTGGAAAGACGCATTCCGTCCCTCCCGACACATTTAGCATTTAAGCTAATTATTCACCCCACTCACTTTATCTCCCTCATGTCACTGACCTATCTCTCATTTCGTCCCTCAATTGAAATGGTTACGGTTATTTTAAAGAGCAATCTGAAATCTAAATGTTTGCTTTAACCAGTGTTGTTGTTTTCTAAATGAGAAAGTGTGGTGCATCCCTCAGCAGATTTATAACAAATATTGCTCAAGCAGTTTATTCTCTGTCACAGTCACTGCCTGTCAGTTAATTAAGGAAATAATACCCCTCAATACATCTTTACAAATGTGCAAAATTCAAACAGTTTCACCTCCGGCATGTGTGTGTTTGTTCAACATTTACCTGCATGAATAATGACCAATAATTGCAACGTTTTTTACACATTAAAATATGCCAAATGGTACATATTTGGACTAACTTAAATATTTGCCTTCCCTCCTTCCAGCCATGGGTCACTTTGTTTGACATCTTCATTTCGTTTCTTTTTTTTTTACACATTAGCACCTGCTGTACAGTCAGCAAATTCTTCCTTGGTGCTGAATGCAAATTCTTGCATAATTAGCCTGATAATTAGTTGTCACAGATTCGCTTTAAATTTCCTAATTTCTTTGTCCGAGCCGTTCAGATGTCCCCGGGGTGCATCGGATCTTGCCTGAAGCTTTTAATGACTACTTTTCACAGGACATTTTAATCACCGCTCACCTGTCAGCGGAGCCTTACGAGTGTCAAACAACAACTTAAATTGAGATATTCTGCAAACGCTGACAAATGTTTGATGTTCAGCTTGATCATGTGAGGAGTAGTGTAAATGCTAAAAGTGGTTATTAGAGTGCAGATGCTGGGCCTTGAATCTGGTCCTACCTGTTCTCTGACATGGAACACTGTCTCCTGTCGATGGCCTTAATGACCTAAGAGGCTAACAAGTTCAAAATTAAGGTAAAAATCTCAATATGCAGGTATATTTTTGTTCGTTTACTTTCTGATGTTATCAAGGAAAACAGATTTTTTTAATATAGCAACAAATATATTTTTCTTTCCATCCAATGTTGTGAGAACAATGCTCGCCTGTGCGGCTGTGTGCACTGATGCTCCTGTATTTGCATGAAACGCCTAAGCCATGTTTACCATTTGCCTTACAATTTCTTACTGATTTCACATCTGCTGCTGTGATGGACGGAAAGCGTATGATGGACCTATCATTCAATGGCCTTGGGCTGTGTGTCGCTGTGGGCTGTTTCCTTAAGCTGGGTGGGGTCTAGAGAGGACCTGGATCACACCTCAGCATGGAGGATCTGAGCAGTGCTGGGGAAAAAAACACACATTTGATTAAGTCAACACCTTATAGAAAGCTTCGGGTACATATGTACAGTTTTATTGTCAGTTTCATGAACTAATTGCTTAATTTCAAAGATGTCAGCTGTCAAGACCAGTCACGAGGTATCTCTTTACACAAGTAATAATATGAAGATTCTGCTGGGTGCCAGCGTATCAACCACATGTCAGATCAGTTGGTTATCCACTGTAACTAAACACAGCCTTGTGCCCTGCAGACATGCCGCTCATAGGTCATACTCTGCTTGGAAGTGCAGAGAACCTGAATATCAGCATATTTCTGGACAGGCTTTTATTGGAAGACTGCGTTCAGGGGATTTCTACTTGTCAAAAAGGGACACTGAATGCACACAATGTACTCACTGCATATTACGAACTGTGAAACAGCCCTCAAAATGCGTGACCGATGCATATGTTCACAAACAAACCAATCACATGTATAAGATATTCGGTCCAAGTTAAATTTGACCTTCGGTTTACAACACATCCTTTGTTTTATTAAGACTAATGCAGGCTAACACCCCCTCTAGGCTTTTTGTTTTAGGCTCATTGATTCAGCTTGGAGTCACATCCATGACAAAGAAACCTATCATAGGATTATCATTATGAATTACTCACACATTAACGTCTGGTGTTTAGCACCACAGGCCTCTGCTTGTTCTAGAGATTGGTCTTTTTTTTCTAATATTGGAATTATTAGAGGACTGTTTTCTTGACCTAACCCTGGAAACGTCTTGTGATAACTGTTTACTCTCAGGATTGGCCTGCTACTTGTGAAACAGTTAATGTTTTTGCTTTTATTCGCACCATATGGCTGTCAAATTGCTGAGGGGGGAGAAAACCCAGCATATACGCAATGCAACACAACACTAAATATTCACACACATTGTGGTAACCGGATGATAATCTCACAGGGGATGATTGGTGAGCGACGTGTGATTTACTGCGAGCAGTTTGTTCTTAGATTCTCTTTCAATCGAACACATTAAATCAATTTTGCAACGCCATAAAGCTCCTTCTTTTTTACTCTTATTATTATATCTCTTAAAAAATTGTTTGGCAAATGTGATTTATGCCCCTAAATGTCATGCCCCACAGCTTGCAAGCGATTTAGTAACAAGTCACAGTCAGCTGCAGAGCCTTATTTTTGCTCACTTTCAGGCTGATCATTTAAGATTTATGATAAGAAATGAGACTGCAGCAGATTAAATGGTGATAAGATAATGAAACACACAGGCCTGGCCTTACACAACACACACTGTTGCAGCTTTCGTTGGCAAACGCAACCGAGAACAAATAAAAAAGGGCTAGGCTAAGCGAGGCCGCTTGTTGTTTGAATTTTTGATTGCAACCATCTGCAACGTTGCTGGTGTCATTTATTTTCAATGACAGCGTGAATCTTATCCCACTTTCCCCTGTGGGGTTTACATGTGTGTGTGTGTGTGTGTGTGTGTGTGTGTGTGTGTGTGTGTGTGTGTGTGTGTGTGTGTGTGTGTGTGTGTGTGTGTGTGTGTGTGTGCGTGTGTGTGTTTAGCTCAGCAAATGGAAGGGGGAAAACAAAGAAATGGAGACAGGTCTGAACCCATACAGTATGGTCGACTGTCATATGAGTGCCCCTGGCCTTATACTCTGCCTTTTACCAGCAGAACACAGTGTGCAGCTGGTATTAAAAAATGTTCTATAAGGTCAGGAGTCGAGCGGAAAAACAGTTTCACGCTTTCTGTTTTTAACGCCGCTCGGAAGAATCTCATCAAATTCACATCGTTAATTAAAAACAAATGTTTCACATTCAGCAAAATTACAATTCCACAGTTTCTTATTCGACTTTTAAGGCAGAGTGAAACATGTTAAACCATGTTTAGATTTCCTATCACCTTCAGCTCTAGCTGCGATCACAACAACAGAAACACCTTTATAAGAGCATATAAGGACAAGCACAATAATCATAGATTAGAAGGATTTATATGGGCAATTAATGTCAGAGGAACTTTATATATATGATGCACCTTGGCAAGCTTTACCTACTTGGCTGGTTTAAACCTGGCCAATAGTGTGAAAAACACTCAAGAGGGCGTCACATATTATTTACAGGTTTTCGCACTAAAATTACAACTCCACAGATAAAGAAAAAGCTGCAAATGAAACAATTCCTCGCCTGTGGCAACACCATTTGATCATTAAGTGCTTATTGTGCGTTTTGAATATATTTTTCGACCTTTCGCACAACTGGAAATATTGGTGAAAGAGGCCCATTGTCTTCAGCTGTGTCTCCCATCTGGTACACATTGTGCAGCGGCAGTGTGCAGCAGCAGTGAATGACTGACTCTCTCCTCATCAAACTGATAGGGGGTGCTCTAAGGCTGCCTGACTTAACTCACACTTGATAAGACAGAGTAGCAGGAGGAATACTCTGTGTGTGTGTGTGTGTGTGTGTGTGTGTGTGTGTGTGTGTGTGTGTGTGTGTGTGTGTGTGTGTGTGTGTGTGGCAGAGACCAAGAGAGAGGAATAAAGTGTGTGTGCTATCATGTCAGACAGCAGGGTTTCATTGCTATCATCACGCCTTCTCAGCGAATGGCATGTTTGACATGTGTGTGCTATGCTCCCTTACCTATCAAGCGTGTTCCTCTCACATAGCAGTTTATACAGAGAGAATTAGACACTGTCTGTCACGATGATAGGCTACATTTAGTTTTATTCTTTTCATTTCAGTGTGTCTACCAATGTTGCTTTTTTTGCAAGCATTCCAGGTTCAGTTCCTTTTTGCACCTGGCTTTTTTTTTTCTCACACAGGTGAGCCTCGGGATACACGAGTGAGCGGGTTTCGGGGAGAGGTGTGGTTTTAATAAGAAGTCCGACTGATATTCTGATGGCATGGTGACAATGCCAACGCCTATTCATTTGCGGCCTTCTGCCCCCAGGCCGTGTTGCTCAATCATATGTGAACAAACAGGCCTCAATCTATTTGTCTCTTACATAAAGTCCAAAAGCAGGTGTCTATCAACTCTTTCCCTCCCCCACATTTCCAACTCATCGAGGCTCTTATGCCACCTGTCTTGCTTTCAACGGCTGAAGTGAGAGCGAGCGCCATGTTGTTAGCTCCTGCACAGTGCTACTTATATGCATCGCACATATGCGCACATGCACGCACGCGCTTGTGTGAACACTCTGGAACATTGCTTCATGTGAATCGTGGTCGCAAGCTGTGAACTGTAGGTAAATATGTGTTTGTGTTCCTTCTTTGCCGGCAAAGATTAGGAGATGGAAATTATTTGGCAGGCGTCCAGGAACCCATCTCCATTTAGAGAAAAGATATTTGGCATCGGATCATCACTCCAGGGCAAAGCGAGTGGACTGGAACGCATGTGTGGGTGTGTGTGGGTGCAGAGGGGGGTTATTCATGGTGGCAAAGACTTATTTGAAATAATAAAAAGGAAACTGGGTAAAACTGTGTAATATTCAGCTGGAATTCTTCCCTGAGTTTAACGGTTATGACGGGGAATGTAGAGGAGCAACGCCTCCCTGGCAGTTTGAGATGGGCACACACACCCAACAGACAGAGACCAAGAGAGAGGAATAAAGTGTGTGTGCTATCATGTCAG